ATATTCGTCTATTATTATATATGTACGTATAGATACATTGGTGAAACGCCCATAGTAACCGCTGCACAATTAAACCATTGGCGAGATAATAGTGTCCGTGTGTAACATACGATGGGTGTAAACGCTCGCGGGAGGAACGTAATAGGCAATCCGCGCTGCAAGTCGATCCTCGCAACTCGCACCCCGAGACTCCCGAGGGCTCAAGTCTAACTGAAGAGTAGGGGTGTCTAGACACCCAATCTCTTTTCCTGCTCTCTTTCTCTTCCTTCCTCCTTTGTGTCGACGGTGTTAACCTTTACACGTATCGTGATAGTAAACTGGTCGAAGGACAACGTTCAAAAAGTGAACGAAAAAGCCTTCTTTGTTCTTTGAACGCACCCAGAAAGCGTGTAGTCACACCGCTCATAAAATACAAGGGTTGAAGAGCGTTACAAGAATTCTTGTTTGAAGCAACAACTAATCTCACTGAATGCATATTTTTTTCTACCTCTCATTCTTGTCCATAAAGCTTAACCTTTACTAAAAGCACAATACAAATGTTTCTTTACACATAGCGATCTTAGCTGAATAAGTGTTTAAAATGTTTTGAAGTGTTTAAAGTGTTTAAAATATTTTGAGAATTTACAAAAAATATATTATTATCGTAAATATATACATACTGTAATAATATATATAGTATATATTATTATATATTATTATAATATATATAGTATATATTATTTATTTTATTATTATTCATTATTCTTATTTATTCTTATTCATTTGACCACAAAATGTCGCAATTATTCTGTCCATTCTGGAATTAGCAAATTTTTTTAATGAAGTTTGTAGCCAATTCTTAATAAAAAGATTATAAGAATAGCCATAATTATTGAGCTACAAGATATTTATTTCTTTCAAGAGATATATATCCTGAAAGAAAAATCTACATCTTTTGCATTTAAAGATACAATAAAGAAGTTAATCAAATTGTTCAAGTAGCAAATATGTACAATTTTGATTTTGAAATAATTCAATAAATATAACAATCGCATATACATATACAAAAGATATATATGATGAACGAGGTTTTAATATTGTATTTTAAAAATTAATATAATCTTAAATATATTATCTTAAGAATCAATATAAATACGATGATTTGACGAAAAATTTTTTTTTGTTTGAAATACACTCAAATTTATATTTTTATCGAATGACCTGATATTATCCCATTAGATTTCTTCTTCTGAGTGTATATCAAGAACATAATTTTCTCCACTAAAATGTCAAACGTGAATGCCTTATATGCAACCAAATTGTGGCTGCCATTGGCATCATAACTAACGACACGCTGCACCGCATTTGGCGTGAAGTGGAATACCGGTTCAATATTCTTCGAGCCACTAAAGGTACTCATGAGAAAATTTAGTTAGTTTAGTACATGCAAAAGTGTGTATTTAATCATTTTTTGTAAGAAGCTTTTTAAATTATTCTTTATAATAAAAAGGAAAAATGTATTAGAAATAAATATGTGTATCTGTTTTTATTTTGTTTCATCATTTTTAAGATATCGGAGATTTATTGTATCTACCCTCTATTTTTCACGTTTTAATCGATTATTCGAACGTTCTCGACATGTGCTATGCCTCTTTTGCGATCCTTTGTTATTGATTATTATTAATTGCAGACTAGATATGAATACTCATCAAGTTAGCACTTTCCGTGCACGTAATATCGAAGAAACGCATCGTGCATGTTTTACCCAATAAACACGAGTGCTTTTTCTTTTTAACAAAGCGTGCTACTATAAATGTGCATCGTAAAACGCGGGAAATAATCATACATGGCCGATACATGGTCGTTCTGTTCGCAATTTAGTCTTTATCTTTCGCTATTGAAAATGTGCACAATTACTTGATGCCTTGAGCTGCGTACGTCCGAGATATGTCGCAACATGCGCTTTGTAAAGCGATGAGAACAGTTGCATATATCGCATATGTTCGTGTGCGATGCATATTGAAATGCCACGTGGACAGATATCGCCACTCATCGCGTAAGTAAAGATAACTGGAGCGTGATAATAAATAATATGCGTTTACGATATAAACGTCGTACACATTCGTGATTATATAAATTGATTGTCTTAATTAATTTGTTAATATTATTCAATGATTAAAATCGGAACAATAGATCACTGAAACTCTTTACAGATTCTCTGCAAACAAGTCTGCCGCAGTTAAGGATCAGAAGTATAAAAAAAAATATGAATCATACTTTGTTAATTTTTGAATTCATCTTCAAATGTCTGATGAAAAAAAGTGTCATTATTACAGAATGTTTAAAAAAAATTAACGGTTTATAACAATATTAGAATTATACTAAAAATATAAATTTTGCTTAGGAAAACCCAGGGAAATCTTCCTATTACAATGCTGGGTAAATATTTCCCTGGTTTAACCGCAGCGCAGAGGACGATGTCCTTCGGCAGCACATGTTCGGAGAATCGATTCCTCGTTTACACAGCTGCGGAAGTGACTCAAACGAACAGCGTGTGCTCAGGAAAATTATCCAAAGCAGCGGCGGACATTAGAGTCGTGCTATACACCATTCTCGACCTAATTCTCGATGCGCTGCACATCCGCAGCCCTTAAATTGTAACTGTACATAGTGCGGAGTGGCGCATTCCGATTCTGATATGAGATAACGAACGTTAGTCAGAAATAGATAAGTCAAGAAAATTCTATGTGTTCGTCATTAAAGCGTATTTCCTTCGGATCAGATTAGATTTTTTTATCAATTTTGAGTAAATTTCTTTTTTATAGAAACATAAAAACAGCCCTTTTGAGTTATGAGCGAATAAAGAGCATTGCAAAGATTTTCAAAATTAGTTTAAGAATGTATTACACATATTTTTTATCAAAATGAAAGAATTATGATTTAAAACTAAAGTAAAATAATTATTTCAATAAAAAGTAGACATGTTTGAAAAAAATAATTCAGATTAAATGGAAATATTTTTATTTAAATTATAAAATTGTATTGTTAAATATTAATTTTATAAATATTAATTTTGTTAAACTGTTTCATAATATATAACATTTATTTTTATACGGAAAATATAAAAACAAATTTTCTGTTACTTTTTACAGATATCTAATCTGGTACGTTTAGAAAATATCATTAATAAAAAATAATGGTATCCGAGAATCTCTGGTATCCGAGAATCAATCGCGCTTCCTGTTAACAAAAAGTATTTTGCAAACAAAAAGTAAACGAAAATGAATTAAATGGGAAACAGATAAATGTAAGGTTTCACGTACTACTTAAATGCATTTGGTTGTATAACGCTATTTCCATTGTTCGAGTTTCTCTATGCAACGAATATAATGAAGCGTATCTATATCTATAATTGTTGTTTTTATCAGCATCAGTTTAAATCTTTCTTTATTCCTTTTTAATTTTATTGATTCATATATTCAAGCTCCTCAAATTTCTAAATATCAAATTAACACTATTACGATATATTTAATTCTACATTACCCATGTTGTTTTATTAATGTAACTATTCGCGTAGGGTATTTCTAACAATATTTTATCTCAATTTTTGTTATTAATGATTTACAATTTTTTGAATGGACGCAAATCTTTTAATAAAAAAACTTAAAAAAGATCTCAAAGAAGTTTTCAAAAAAATTTCAGAGTCACTGAATTTGATTCTACTTTCAGAATTCTAAAATTTAAATTTCAAAAAAATAATCTGATCTTATCGTGAAATTCGATTTTAAGAGATTTTCAAGACTCTCTTGATATCATTAAATTTAAATGTTGCTGACAATGTCGAATTTCAAAAGAGTAGTACCCTTCAATGAAGGAGGATCTAATGTCACAGAGTTCATAATGACAGTTTAAAAGTCAGTTTGAAAATCAGTACCTACTACAACTGTTCATATAACGCTAATGAGCTTCAAATAAAATGAAACTGGAAATTTGTGTGATGTTGCTGCGCAATTATAAATTCTTTAAAATCAAATTCTATGATAATATACATTTAAAAAAATGCTATCTATAGTATTGGATTTATCATTTTGAATTTTTTATTTTTTATCTCAGATTCAAATAAAACATTGTCAAAGTATTTCATAATCTCAGTTTTACAAAAATCAAGCGAACAATTTACAAAATAAAGAGAAATATTTAATGGGTTTATCTACAAATTAAATAAATATTGATAATGTTCTTTACATCCTCCGGATAAAGATAAATACAAAAACTTTTTTTAATTGTGAAATAATTTGCGCTAAATATAATAATGTATATGAGTAGTATTCATATATTTAGTAAATTTGTAAGCTGCGTTATCATGGACACCCCATGCAAGTAATGAAGAATTAACAGTATTTATAATGCTTCAATGTTGTTCACGTAAAAATGAGATACGCGAGTAAATGAAACAATATCTTTAATTAACAACCCATTGTTACAAAATTAACAGATTTCAGAACAAATATTGGCTTACTTTAATTATCACGGCCGATCCGTACAGTATATATTACATTCGACAAGGGATGCCAATATTTCGCGGCGATAAACTGATAAACTCATGTCATTCCGCACAGTTCACGGAACCCACGATGGTAGCGCGCAAATAATTGCGTTATCTATTCTACTGCGCGTAATGCGCAATGAATGCCAGTGTATATCCACAACATTAACAAAATTGCTCTCACGTCCGTTCGCCGATCCATTTGAATCGCGACAGTGTGAAAATTTAGCGCCTTCAACGTCCGTTACTGTAATGGATTTTCCGCTCATTAAAATTAGATATTTAAAAACGGATCTCGAGCTGAAGGTATATCAATATCAATATCATTTGCATTATTGGACAGTGTCCATTTTTTACAATTATTCATCATTTATCACTTCCGATATCTTTAACTCTATCTTTAATTTGTCCATATTTAACTCTTATCTCATCATTTATTTGCGGATGTAAGATAAAATAATAATGAGATCGTTACCTCTTGGACCTTCCGATGGACGACGATTTTGTGCCATTGACGATCATCGAATCGTAACTTGACCGGCTTTATGTGCAAATCCAATCTTCCTTTGGCTAGGCTCATACTGACTGCGGCGCCTCCGTCTCTCAGCGATATAGTGAGATAATCATCGCCCTCTCCTGTAATTAAAAACGGGTCTAATAAAGTCAAGACGAGTATCGTGAGCGCGTGTGCAATGTACATTGCACAGCGAATAAACTCTTATCTCGCTTTTGAAGCGCAAATAATGCCACTGAATTAATTGTGACAGTGGCTGACGCGAGATTGTCGAATACGGAAAATGCTCGCAGCCGTCACGAACGTTTTTTAGTTGCTGTCTGTGTTGACGTGACCGGGAACATTACCGTCCATTGAGCACGATCCCTTTTGACGCGTTAACGTCGCACGCATTGCCTGAAAAAAAGATCGACAGCAACGTACGCAAATTTCAACGCAACTTTTTAATCCCCCGCGGCGACGTCGGTCCATCAAGTTCCCTGGCTCACTCCATTTTTCGTCGAGCTCGCCTGCCGGATTATAGCACGATGCGACGCGTATAAATCGATTACGATCGCTTAACCATTAGTTTCGAGGTACTTCCGGACGACCAGTTAAAACGTCCGGTGATCGTCGTTAATAATTATCCTGTGCTAAATTCGTTAGAAAATCCTCGCAGATTATGTTATACTTGTAACGAGTTGAAGGATCAAAACGATTCTATCGATAGAACGGTTTTTGCGATTAAAAGTTAAACGCGATTAGTATTCTTGTACAATTAATATCAACGATTTAAAGTATAACCACGAGAAAGATCCAAATATTCTCCTATGATTTTGATGAGCTTTTAATGCTATTTTGTAAATAAAAATAAGGAACATATTTTATGTCCTATCGCACTTTCAAGGAGTGTCAAATACCCCTTAGAAGAAAATCGGTTTCTTTTAATTTTAAAAAATTTGTTTAAATAAACAATTTTTTATTTATAAAAAATGAAAATAAAAATTTTTTTATTATAATTATTAAGCACTCTTAGAAAATTCTATTTTTCAAGCTTATCAAAATCGGAGAGAGAAAAAATATGATTACAGACGGAGGATTATATCATAAAAATGTATACCTGTTAAACGCAATGAAAACGATTGTTCTTTTTAAGAAAAAATTGAAATAAAAAAAGCGAAAATTAATTTATTCTTTACTTTTTATTAAAAATAAAAAAATAAATAAAAAATAAGAAAGTTGTCTAATAAAATTGTTTGTGAAAATTCCTCTTATTATACAGTCACTTAATAAACACCTTTATGAATACAGTGAATATAGCGTTTTACTTTCTTCAAGCTGTTGCATTTAATTAAATTAACAGAATTTACAGAGAAAAAAACTCAAGTTTTTATTATTTTTTCAATTTACGATTATTTTTCTCAATATGTGCAGCGAATAATAAGAACATAAATATATACAAGAGACGTTAATATGTAGAAATTATAATTTTTATCAGTAGATTGCGAGTAGATTAAGGCGCATCGGTAGGGGCGCAAACGGGATACGTACGGATATGGCGTTACATTCGTGAATCTCGCAAACGCCACCGTCGGTTATTGCCGCAGTCGCTTTAAAATCGGGCCGCGACCGCATACTAATTATCTCACGGGCAGCCCAGAGACTCGAGCATATAAAAGATGCAAACAGTACTTCGAGTTTAATTGCTACTGGCGCGACGCATTAGTATGCGCCTAAGTGCATTACGTTACGTATCGTGCTTTTATTCGCGTAATACTATCGCCGGAGCGATGCACATCGCGGATCGCTATCGGACAACAAACATGATAACACACGTTACGCGCTGCGAAGGTAACGCCTGCGAAATGGATTCTACAAGCCGAGAAATTGGCGAGAGTTTCTACACACTTCCGTTATAATTACATCCCTACATTAAAAAAATATTCTAAATTTTAATAAATCATTTGTTTAAATAGTACTAATTAAATATTTATTAAATATAAAAATATATTTATTTGGTACAAGGATCATTATTTTGAATTCACATTTTTTTGTTATTGAGTGAATATATTTATTTACTGTAAGTAAATGTTTAGTTGTACTTTAAGTTGTTCAAATAAATTTATTAAAATTTAGTATATTTTTTTCTCAGTGTGATCAAAATTCCTATGAATGATTCATTTCTACCAACTCTGCTCATACGCTGTAGAATATTTAATTGTCAAAAAACAAACGAATTTTCTAGAATTAAAAATAACAGTCGTTGATCGTCACACATTTGCAAATACATGCACGAGTAAATTGTTATTTATTGTTCGCTCGTTATTGGAATGTATTTTGCCTAATTATTCCCTGGATGCGAATTATCTGCGTAAATCCCAAATACATTCGAGAAATATCTTTGCGTAATCGTGTTGCAACAGTTACTGGAAAACAAACGAAACCATTTCCGATGTGAATTTAACACACTGCGACTCAGCACGTGAGCGAACCAAGTATAGAAGTAGACAGCGCAAGTAGTAAAAGACAAAGACGGTCAGGCACGTTCCGGCGGAATTCTCGAAGGAGATTGTTATGTTTACCGTTCTTCGCGAGGGAATTCCCGCGGTACGTTACCACGATTTGAAAGAATAGAAGTGGGGTGACGATTATTATGCCCCCCGGAAATACGTGCAATTCAAATGCGCGGCGAGTGCGTGGTTGTATTATAGCTTATCTCGGGAACAAATGAGCAGCCTGGTGTGAGAGCGCTGCGGAGGGAGAAACGATTGCTACGTATGCATCTTGTGTGTCGTATGTGTAGTGGATATGCGAATGCGGACGTATGAGAGAGTATGTAAGTGTATGTGGTACGGCATTGCGGCTCCGTTATATAGGTTTCGAGTTGCTGTAACCGGAGCGAAGGTGCAAACTCCTCCTTTTACTGCGGATGGTGCAGTCTTGCCATCTTGGCTGTGCTGATTCCACCGTTCATTACGTAAGTATATTATAAACTGGAGGTTCATGTGCATCCGGTGAGAAGCTATAATACGCCAAATGAAACGATGGGTGTAATATAAAGGCAATATATAACAATAAATCAGAAATCTGACCGAAATACAAGCGAGTAAGAAACAAACTTTTATCTTGACTTGAGCTATCTATTCTCCGAGTCTCTTCATTATTCAGCCAACTTGATTAAATTTAATTTATGTATTTTTGTACAAATTTGTGTTTTAAATTACAAACTGAAATTTTGTTAAAGTTAAAATTAATATCGAAGAACAACATCGCAATTTATTTTACTGTCTAACACTTATTTTTGTAAACATCTCTTCATACTTAAACATTTGAAATTATTAGTAACATCAAATTATTGATCTTTTTATATTAAAAATTACAATTAATTGAAATTATAGCACAGAGTCGAAATATTTTTATTATTAATTTTGGAACTAAATATAACATTAGAAATTCTATTATTACTGATATATGTAGTTATAAATTAATAAATAGATATAATGTAGTTGTAATTTAATAAATAGATATATATAATAAACAGGTATAAATGAAGTAATTTGATCAGTTTTCAATATCCTCGAATTGATATTTTGCGTAAAAATTCTAAATGAAACAATTTTGAAGTTTAAATTAATATATAGATCGAATAAGATTCAATATAACACCTTAAAATAAAAGAGAAAGAGAAAAAAGATAATAAGAAAACGATGTTAAACATAAAGAGAAAAGGTGAGAGACAAAATTTTTTTAGTTGACTGTACGTCCGGTATCCGAACTGAAACTATCTAATTGGCTATAATGTCGCCATGAGAGAAGAGGAGCAATCTAAAGATTTAATATGCGACCATTGTCCAAGATGGTTCTATTGTCTATCTGCATTCTCTCAAAGGATATCCGGTCGTTCGTAAGTTACTCGATTAGATGTCACCCCATTGTTGATCTTCCTGAATTGTTTTCAATTAATTGCGCGCCTCTATGATTAATCGTTTCCAGAAAATTTACAATTTTATGATTTATACTTCAAAATCTATATTTACAATCATTATTTTCACATTTTCTGATTTTGTAACTCGTATATTAATTATTCATTCAGATATACGAACTGCGAATATTTTCCATCAAGAATCTATTTTCTTAATTGCCGCAAACGCATTTGAAAGTGGAACAATTCGCAAGTGGAAATAAAATTGCCACTTAAAGGGAAGTTATTATAATTGACAAAGAAAGTCGTTTGAACACAGCAAGTACTTACCGGAATAAAATAGAAGTCCATTTGCTGCTCTCGTTTTGAACTGGAGGCTTATGGATTCTTGTGTACTGAGTACTGGTTCTCCTTTGCTCAAATCTATCGTGAGATACTCAGTCCCTCTGAAGGATGCTTCCGAGGGAGCTTTGTCTGGAACAAAAAAGACAGTAGTTTATAAATCGGCCAATTCACTACAATAGTTTTCGTTAAAGACTCGCTTCGAGAATTAGCGGTACAAATTAAAAAATGAAAAATTTCTTTCTCGTTTATTGGAATTTTTGCAATTTTCTCTTTGAAAAGAAGAAAATAAATTATTAACTATTCATACGATTAATTCAGTTTTGCTGAAAATAATGCAAAAAAATATTTAAACAATCAACTATTGGAATAAATATAATTTCAATTTATTATTAGTTTATTAGTCGAAAAGAAATATGATTATTATTTAATTATGTTTGTACTTTTAAAGCTATTATTGAATAAGTAGACCAAAGGAATAACATTTTTGTATCTTTCTGAGATTGTGATAAATAACGAGAGTTTCTCAGTTTTCTCTCGCGAGTTTGCGAATCACAGTAATAAGCGTCAAGAATCCCAACCTATCATCTTGGAAGCGACGCGCCTCTCGAGAAAAATCGACGCCGGTGGATTTATCGTGGCAATTCGTTTCTACCGCAGTTGAGCGAGCTGAAAGAGATACGAAGTGGTGGATATATAGTACAAGCAGCTCTTCCTTACGCGGATTCGCTGGATGATTTGCGGCGGTAATGAACATTTCAATCGGTGCATTCGACCTCGCGGCGCGATTTGGCGACGTGCCAGTGCCATTAAACTCATCTTACGGTCTTTTTGCGCGACCGCGCTTACCTTTGTTTCGTCGCGATAACAATGAAGAATGGAAAATAACGGGGAATGCGTCCGTGACCGGTCTCTTACGAGCGGAATCTCAAAATCCGATTAAATGTTCTCGCTGAATCGAATAAAGAGCATCGGAATTTGTTTGTAAAACTGTGAATGATAAGAGAAACAAGCCATTCTTGATGTTAACAAAAGAAGAAATTAAAAGAAGATTTTAAATGCTTGAAAAAAATCACTCAATTTCTAGTATTTATGGACGACTCTCTCCAATTTATTTAACACCGTTATAATGTGCTACAAAAATGTCAGATCGTTAAATACCATGAGCGGAAGAAGGCCATATTCAGTTAAAACGGATCTTGGTGCCTAACAATATTTTTGTATAAATTTTCTAGTTTTGTGTATTAAAATTCATATTTATTTTACATTAAAATTATTTTATACAACAAACTATTTACTAATATTTTATTAATTATTTACTAATATTTTATAAATATTTTATGTTATATATACGTATTTAATGTGTGTAGCACTTTTCAATAAAAATTTATCAAAGTCTGTTTTGATCATCTTTGATCAAAGAGAAAATACAATTGTGCCGTGTGTTTTCTTTCGGATTGTCCTAGGGATACAGCGGATGCTTCAGCAACCGTTGAGCTTACTTGGTCATTGTCTTCTGCGGACGTATAGCGATAGTTTAGCGGCAAGATTTATGGTAAGGGAGGAACGCGAGCGATTGATCGCGAGAGTGCGCCAGGTGCAGAATTACGCGGCACCCATTGCTGACTTCCTAATGAATGGCTGGCGATTAATACGGATTAGTGGAGGCGCGTGTATCGGCTACGCTAAGGTGCACTTAGCCACGATTTATGCGCGACTTTGTCAACGTATTCTTCGATGCGCTACAAAAGATGCGAAACAAGAAGGTGTTAGTTGAGAAACAAGAAGTCGTGAAACTTTCGGATTATATATTGCGGATATAATACCTTGCGCATGTAAATTAGATCTATATAATATAATACAGAAAGTTCTATATAATTCTTCATGAAATATATAATTCTTCATGAATTCAAAATCAATTTATAGTTAACACAAACTAAAAATAGCATAACATCAACGTTATAATTTTATACTCAATATATAACACATGTTGCATAACGATTACATTATTGAATGTGTAATTATAACATTAATGTTACATTATTTTTGATATCGATTGAGTTTTTTTCTTAATCAAAGTCTTTAAAAATTAATTAAATTAATGCTTTTATTTTTATAAAAACGTCAAAAAACAAGATTTTTTACAAGCTGATTTTAAAAATTTTCTAGATTGATATTCTCGAAAGGGAATGTGAACCAAGCGCAAAGTAGCACAAGCCATGAAAGATAATTACCATAAAACGTAGCATTCCGCGTGCGCATATTATCCTGCTTAGATAATTACGCGATATCCGGCAGATTGCGGTGTTGCCGGAGTTGGTTTTGCTCCATTGGGGATCATTTGGCATTCCGTGGCGTCTCAACTAAATCGATCGGTCGATTTCGCAGTATTCGCGCACATAACGCGAACACCGGATAATTAACATCAGCCGCGCGTAATTACTTTGCGAGTTAAGCATCCGCCGGGTTTTTTCGAGAATTAAATTTCTCGAGATGGAACAAAGAGTACAATGCAATTTGCAATGGAATAGAAAATGATTCCAACCGTATACGGAACGTAACTTGCTACTTTTTAACAGTTTTTATAAAAATATATGGAAATTTTGTATATTACTATTATCTGGTATTGAAGAGAAAGAGGCGAATCTATGTAAATGATATTTATATAGTATAGATCTTTTCAGTAATATTGCAGCAACATTGCAATATTCCAGCAATATTACATATTATATGGAAGCAATGTTGCTGCAAACTTTTGCTGCTGTATAGGTAGAAATCAATTTATTATATCATAAAATTAAATTTACAGACTATTTATCGATTTATTTTTTCTCGTTCACCAAGCATTAAATCATTTAATACCGGAAAAAGAAAGAAAGATAAAGAGAGATTTTTTTCCAATTAATAAAAATCTTTCTTGAAAATAAAAAAATAAACAGAACGAGAAAGGCAGAAGAAAAGAGAAGGAAAAATATATTCCTAATGTCTAATGGTTTATGTCGTTGGTAGAAATATCAATACTTGAAGAAAGAAAGAATATCTCTTTTTTGCTCTTCTTTATTCGATAACATTGGCAAAGAAAAATAACCGATATCAGGCAATGCGTTACAAACGATGTTACGTGCGATTGCAACACGTGGGCGCGTTGTTTGACAAAATCTAAAATTATATATTTAAAAATGTATGCTTAATTATATTTATAATTATATTTATGCTATATTTTGTTTGTATTCATTATTTATATAATTTACTTATTTA